ACATGGAGACAAGACCAAAAACACCAACATTTCCCCCAGGTGTGACAAAACCAACTTTTGCGTCACCTTACCTCCGTCCTCTGTGGAAAATAAACAAAACAACGGTGGTCGTGGCCAGCTCTTGAAATGACGGCAAATAGACCACGAGTGAGTAAAAACGCATGACGTATTACAAGATGTCATTATTTATTTTTAGCCATTGTGGTCATCATGCCAACAAAGGGTTTACGGTTAAAGATTTGAATGGCACCGAACGGATAAAAATGAAAGCTGAGACCTCAAACTGGACAAATAGACAAAAATCCCCGTGGTGATAGAAAATGTATTTAAGGGAAAATAACTTCCTGAAGGGAGAGCAAACCAGCACGAGCCTCGCAACGTATCAAGCTGCTCCAAAGTAAAACAAAATCATAGAGCATTTTACACCCTTCTGAGTCTAAAATGAAACAGTCCTTCATCATGCATCCTTATTAAACAATTAGACAAGATATAATTAGACAAAATATGAGGAGACCTTCTCCGAGAGAGCCTCACTGAGAAGGAAAAAGAACCTTTAAAATATTAAACCGTGGAAAGTTACCGGAGACAAATGAAGTAAGTGATCGTACATATATTGATTTCCGGCACACGTTTCTGTATTCGTGTCATCAGCAGATCCCAATGGGATCCCTCTGCTGAATGACATGATTCCCATCATCTCCCAACGATGTCTGGAGCTGAAGCCAGGCGGGAAGTGCCTGGCGGGCTTGGCTGCCTCCCTCCCAGACATCAGCCGACTGATAATCTGCAGAAAGGGCCGCGTCACCCTTTTTCATTCTCGCCCATTAAACAAATGAATGGAAAAATATTCCGCGCGCCCCCCAAAACAAAGCCCCACAAACGAGCAGCGGGTGGAGGGAAACGGGCGGCGGGTGAGGCGGCGTTTTATTCCTCCAGCAGGAAGACGGCAAACGGGCTTTGTAGCATATTCATCATTCCTCCATTTTCTCCTCCTCTCTCTCCTTCCCCACCTCTTCCCTCTCATCTTCTAAGACTTTAACGACCGGGTTTTCACTTCACTGTCACCCCTCAGTGCCAGTGTCAGTGTGTGTTTTTCAGTCTATTTGTATCCCAGTGTGAGCCGCGTGTGTGTGTGTGTGTGTGTGTGTGTGTGTGTGTGTACTGTATGCGTGTTTCATAAGTCGTACGCGTGGGTTTGAATATGCATCTCTATGTTTGTGCTCTCTCTGCTCTCTGCTCCGCCCACTGGTGTGTGTGTGTGTGTGTGTGTGTGTGTGTGTGTCTGCTGATGTGGGGGGGAGGGGCCTCTGGTTTTTAACCCTGGGGGGGGGGCCCCCCCCCCCCCCCCGTAAGAGGGCAGCATGTCTACAAGCGAAGGAATAACTTAAACACGTGTTCAGTCTGCTGGAAGACAGCAACCTTTTGGGGTTCAAGTGTACTCGAAATATCCCAGAAAGCCTAAAAATAAACCACTCCAGTTTATCAGACGGAGATATTTGTACGACTTAAATCCAACTGGAAAGAAATCACATCTTTTCGCTGCCTCTTTTATTCTTTTTTTAATTTTGAGTCATCCATTTTGCCTCTGAACACCTAATTCATGATAGCAAATTATAGGTGATCCCATACGCTTGTGTACGTTTAAGCATCTTATTATACTACCCATGAACTTCACCTTTTTTGTTACATTACACATCATTACATAAGCATAAAGCCTTCCTATTCCCTCTGACTTTCTCGCTCCTGACGCTGCAGTTAAAGCTGAGGTGCTTACAGCAGAGAGAGTGTCTTAAAGTGTCTGAAAAGGCTTAAACGGTTCACGGGAAGCACCTGGATGAGAGCGGTGTCGCAAAGCAAATCAGGGTATCTACGCATGTCGAGGGCAGGTAGTAATAAATAATACATTCAAATACATTTTATTTTTAAAAAGCACCTTTCATGCCACTCAAGGACACTATACAAAGACTATCATCATTAAAACAACATTGAAACATAAGAAAACATACAAAGTCATAAATAAAAACATCATAAATTAATTAGATTAAAACGGAATGAATAAAACTGTGCAGAATGAGGGGGATGTTAGAGTTAGGGGTGGTGAGGTGGGTAGGAAATTTTAAAAAAGGTGGGTTTTGAGTTTTGTTTTGAAAAGAGGGAGAGAGTCTGTATTTCGGATGTCGGTTACAGCAGAAAGTGTACCTCCATTGTCCCCTATTTCGACTCAAATTTCATTCCAATTTATCTTCTTTAAAAAAAGAAGTCCATCACACATTCCTCCCCAAAAAGTGTCGGCAGCAGTTCGGTTACAGAGCGGAAGAGTAACCGCCCTGTTTCCCTTCTCCGTTGCCTTTCAGATCACCAGAAGCTGGAGCGGGAGGCTCGGATCTGTCGCCTGCTGAAACACCCCAACATCGGTAACAGTGGCCTCGCACTTTTTCACTTTGTTGAACAAACCCCCCCACCCCCATCCCCCATCCCCCACTTTCCCTGCTAAATACGATTGTTCTAAATCTTTTATTTTTATCCCCATCCTTTAAGGTAAGGCCAGTCTCGATTGATCATTTCTTCCATTAAATCACAATTTTCACAAAATTCCAATTTAAACCAGTTTATTACACGTTACATATTGTTTTTTTTTATTTTTTATTTTTTTTACTTTTATTTTTTAAATTTTTTTTATGTATATATCTAGCTATATTTATGAGGAATTTTTGTATATATATATGTATATATGTATAGACATGTACATATGTATATGCCTTTGTTTTGCTTATGGAGCCTGTAACAAAAATAATTTCCCTCTTGGATTATTAAAGTATTTCTGATTCTGATTCTGATTCTGATAATACAAACTCATTTATTCATTAGCTAAAGAAAAATAGTAGCACAGTTCTGTTGTTGTTGATTTAAACGTCTTCCTTTGCCTGAACCATATATTGTAAATGACGTAGGACCCGTTTCGGATGACTCCCCTTGGTTTCTCCCCCTCTTCCCCCCTTTTTATTGTCCTTTAATCTCCTGTTTAAAATGCAGCAGTGATACCCTGTGCAGTTTGAAAAAGCTTTGTACGGTCTATTCCGAGGCTCCAAATGAATAATAAAACACAATCAAATAGTGATGAGTGCGCCGAAGAACTGGCACTTATCTCTTTTTCTTTTCCCCCCCCCCCCTTTCTTTCTCCTTTCCAGTGCGTCTTCATGACAGCATATCAGAGGAGGGCTTCCACTACCTCCTGTTTGACTTGTAAGTCATCATCCTCTCTTCTCCTCTCCTTTCTTCATCCTCCTCTCCCTCAGCTTCCTCATCTTCTATACATATACCGTTACATAACTCTCTCATATATTTGCCCCATCGCCACCACCACCCACACCCTCCGCATCCATCTCTTAGCAATACCCTCTAGTTTCCATGGTAACGACGTGGGAAGGGGATGGGAGTATTTGGGGTTGGATGGGAGGGGGGGGGGGTGCATAAAAAATTATTGAGGAATCTTTCCAGTGAAACCTAAATAGTTACACCCCCCCTCTTCTTCCCTGACGTCAAACCGAGCCTCACAGGTTTTAATAAACTTGTGTGTTTATGTGTGTGTGTGTGTGTGTGTGTGTGTGTGTGTGTGTGTGTGTGTGTGTCCAGGGTGACCGGAGGTGAACTGTTTGAGGACATCGTGGCCAGAGAGTATTACAGTGAGGCCGACGCCAGGTAGGAGCCTCTCTCTCTCTCTCTCTCTCTCTCTCTCTCTCTCTCTCTCTCTCTCTCTCTGTGGTCCCTAAACGCTCCGTGTCTTTGTCGTTGTCCGACGTT